CATGGGGGCTTCTACTTCCCAGATCTCAGATCTACTCTTAACTGCTGTTCTTTGACTTGTCCAAAAGGGCCAATTGCTCACACTAACCCCTTTTTCTGGGCCCAGTCCAGAAGCCTGGCTCCACTCCACAATAGCCTGAGATAACCAATTTATACCCAACAGATGAAATTTCAGGAGATGTCCTCCCCTGATGATTTTAATTCAATTCAAAAAGCTTTTATTGAGCACCAGCTTAGGGTGTGCAGGACACTGTGCTCAGTGTTGGAGACATAGAGGTGACCCCCAAGAGTCTGGAAGGAGCTGACATCCTCCTCCTAATGATACAACACTGACCCAAGCCAGTCAATAAAAAGTATATATGAGTCATTTCAAGAGAGAAGGTAACCAAGCACACTACCCAGAAACAGTCCCCTCACTCTTCCACCTCCAAAGGCCAGATATTCTGGACACTCCTCTGCCTTCTCTGGCACAAACTGATCCAGGCCACCCAAGATGGTGAGGTTAGACAGGATCCATCTGGCTCCAGCAGTGAGAGAGGGGAGGGGACAAAAAGGGAGACTGAGGCCTGATGTTAAGAAACAATTGATCTCACATCACATAGAGGGACCTCAGAGGTCCTCAAGGACCCTCCTTATTTTACTGAGGAGGAAATTGGGACTCAGAGAGGGGCAGGGAAAATGCAAAGAGGGAAGTATCAGTCAGTCAACAAACATCCATTAAGTGCCTGATACTCAGTGTCATGCATTGAGCTAAGCCAGCAGTGGGAGTGGGGGATGCAGAGAAAGTCATGGTAGTCCCTGGCCTCAAAAACCTCATGGTCTGATGGGAGAGACAACATATAAAAAGAAGCTAAAAAGTCAGGGGTGGTACATAGCTCAGGGAGTGATAGCAAGTTCCTCTGCCGGAATGGGAAATGGCCTGAGGAGGCATGTGTTACTGAGTCGAGTTCAACTGGTGAAACTATGAGTTTCTGAGGATCAGGAAATGAACGGGGTGGGGAATGAAGAGCTGATGTCCTGGGGTTCCTCTTTAAATGGCAGAGGATCTGAGAAGAATTTGTCTACCTCCCACCATCTGCAGCCAGAGTTAGGGAGGGTCCCCTGGGCTTGGGCTGTTGAGGGGGCATGAATTTCATCAGGCAGAATAGAGTTTCTGGAAATGATGAAATCCAGGAGATGAGGGGGAAGGGATGAGGTGAAGTCCTGGGGGCCTCCTTAAATGTATGACATGTATCAGGTTTGAGAGGGAGATGCAGCTGATTGGGAGGGGTCTTCAGTGTTCTCCCTGGCTACCCTCTTTCCTAAGCCCCTCTGCTGGCCATTCCCAAAATCTCCAGTTCTGATCCCCTCTGTCTCTCTGGACAGAGGAGTGCAACTTATGAAAGTGTCCGTGGGGATCTCAAAGCCGAGTTCTAAGGGGCACCCACACCTGGCATGACAGATGTGCCCTTCAAATCTTCCCTGACTCAGGGCCAGTGTCCCAGGCCCCTTGTAGGGCTGCTCTGGGCTGTGACCCCTCCCCTGGGCTCCAGACCAACCCACCCTCCACATCTGCTTCTCAGACATCTCTAGGACCAGTGTGGAGCCTGTCAGATCCTTTTCCCTTGAGTCCTCTCTCTGCCTCTTCCCACGGGCTTGCAAAGGCTTATTCCAAGCAGACACAGGATAGGGGAATCTTCAGATTCCAGTGGGGCAGAACTGAGCTTTGCTCCTCCTGCCCCAGGAGGTTGGACAGCGCTGCAGCTGCTGCCATGGTTAGTTTCAGTTTCATTTCCTAGTTTGAACGTTAAAAGAAACTGAACCACACTGAGTCCCAGAAGGACCATGGAAGAGGATCTCCAACTCTGCACAAACTGGTAAGAGGTAGAATCTGTGCCTTTTGCTCCCTCCCCAGCCCAGCCGCTGGCCAGGAAGGGAGAATCGGGGGCTGCTGGGGGAAGGCAGCTCCTTGAGATGGGCTGGGAGATTCAAGCACACCTCCATGAAGGGGGCCTGGCCACTGGCCCAGTGAACCCCCTGGGAGAGGAGAAGAGAAAGGTTTGGGAGGCTACAGGAGCTGCTCCCAGGCAGAGCCCCCCAAGGTCCACCCTGCCCCCTTTCCCCTGGGCCTTAGGCTGAAAGCGGGACTGGAAGGCTAGTGCTGGGGTGGGGGTCAGCAGGTGCAAGATGAGGGTGGGGTTTCATTATCTAAGGCAACCTCCTTTTACCAGCCCTGTCTTGCTAATCTTTTTTTAATTATTATTTTTAATTTATTTTAGTTTCCAACATTCACTTCCATAAGCTTTTGAGTTTTCAATTTTCCCCCCTCAGAGTTGTTCTGATTTGCATTTCTCTGATCAATGGTGATTTAGAGCATTTTTTTTTCATATGACTCTGTGTTGGTAATCTAATCCCCACTAAATTCCCTCTCCCCTCCTCAAGACAGTGTGCAATCTACTATAGGGTCTACTTATACATTTATTTTACTCTACTTATAAATTCATACATATTTTCACATTAGTCATGCTGTAAAGAAGAATTAGAACCAATGGGAAAAACCATGAGAAAAAAGAAATGAGAGAGAGAGAGAGAGAGAGAGAGAGAGAGAGGAGAGAGAGAGAGAGAGAGAGGAGGAGAGAGAGAGAGAGAGGAGAGAGAGAGAGAGAGAGAGAGAGAGAGAGAGAGAGAGAGAGAGAGAGAGAGAGAGAGAGAGAGAGAGTTCAAATAATATGCTTCCATTTGCATTCAGACTCCGCAGTTCTTTCTCTGGATGTGGATAGCATTTCCATTGTGAGTCTTTGGAATTGTGTTAGATCCTTGCATTGCTGAGAAGAGCCAAGTCTATCAAAGTCAGTCATTGCACAGAGTGGCTGTTACTGTGTACACTGTTCTCCTGGTTCTGCTCACTTCACTCAGCATCAGTCCATATAAGTCTTTCCAGGTCTTTCTGAAGTCTGCCTGTTCATCATTTCTTATAGCACAATAGTATTCCATTACATTCATATACCACAGCTTGTTCAGTCATTCCCCAACTGATGGACATCTCCCAACTTCCAATTCTTGGCCACCACAAAAAGAGCTGCTACAAATATTTTTGTACATGTGGGTCCTTTCCTATTTGCATGATCTCTTTGGGATATAGACCTAGAAGAGGTATTGCTGGGTCAAAGGGTATGGCCAGTTTTATAGCCCTTTGGGAACAGTTCCAAATTGCTCTCCAAAATGGTTGGATCATTTCACAGCTCCACCAACAATGCATTAGTATTCCAATTTTCCCACGTCTTCCTTAGCATTTACCGTTTTCTTGTTTTGTCATGTTGGCCAATCTGATAAGTGTGATGTGGTACCTCAGAGTTGTTTTGATTTGCATTTCTCTGATCAATGGTGATTTAGAGCATTTTTTTTACATATGACTTTGTTTTGGTAATCTAACCCCCACTAAAAGTGTGACCCAGGGAGAGGGAGGCAGACAGGTGAGAGGAAGAAAGAGGAAGAGGGAAAGGAGAGTGGCCACACAACTCTGGGGAAGGGGGTATACCTCCCTCCTAGAGGACTGTGAGCATAAAATGAGGTCCTATTTGTAAGGAGCAAACTGCTCTACAAGCTTTCATGAGCTACATAGAGCCTGCTAGCTATGTCTGAGCTAAGAAAGGAGCCTTCTGGCCAGCTGAATTTGGAGCAAAACTCAGAGCAAGAGGTTCTGGGCGCCAGGCTTACCTACGGGTAGGTGTGGCTCCTGACAAATTAAGATCCTCCCTGGGGTTCCCTCCAGTTGGGTCAGGGTGAACAAGCCTGACTCTTTGGGCACTCGTGGGAAAGATCACATGGGCAGCCTGTGGGGAATGATGTACAATGTTTTAATAAGGCACAGAGCACAGAAGCAGAAGGCATGAGAATGATGGTGTATGAGGCAGATAGCACAGGAAAGAGATGGGGCAGGGAGTGGGGCACACTGTGGATAAGAGGTGGGAGTGCTTGGGCAGCCCAGACCCCTAGCCATTGGAAGAGGACTCAAGGGGCAGGGTTTGGGGTCTCTGCAACCTTAGGGTTCGCTCATCTGCATATCAATGTCATCTCACAGTTATCCAGGCCACCACAGGGATGCCTCATTCACATGACCAGGAACCTGGCTGCCTTCTCCTCATTTAACAGAGAAGCTTTGCATGGGCCTTAATTAATTCAGGAGGCAGTCTTGCTGAGTGGATTCTCCCTTCTCCCCTACACTCTGAGTTCCTATTTCCAGTGATCATTCCCTTACATCCACTGGGCGGCGTTCATACTTACTGCACTAACTGAGGGTGGTCATGGGGATCTTAACAAGATGCAAGTTTCAACACAAGAGCCTGAGAGAAAAGACAAAAAAGGTGGTCCAGGGTAGGTTGGGCGTGGCAGAGTGAAAGTTTGAGGGGGCTGGGAATTGGGGACCGAAAGGGGAACTGGGGAGATGGCTGACCAAATAGTTAAGGCTACGGAAGTGTGATGGGACATGACCTCCAAACAGGGAGAGCTGCAGGTCTCAGGAGGGGAAGCAGCTTCGGGAGGAGACACAGGAGGGTCCAGTCATGGGGGATCTCCAAGAGTCATAGTCATGAGTGTGGAGTCTCAGGTGTGGCTGTTGATGGGGGCTAAAGTAGAGAGGACCCTGGAGGCCCAGGAGCTGAGAGATTGGGGAGGAGTGTGATAAGGCCCCTCCAAGGTGGGTATGATGCCTCCCAGAGTGGTGGCAGGGGAGGGCTGGTGCTAGCATTGTCACTCCTGGTAGGGGAGCCAGTAGGACAGCAAGGGAAAAGAGGTCATGTCTGGGGTGGGGTCTGGGCCAGCCGGAGGCTTGTCAGCTCCAAAGGGCAGCTCTGGCTCTGCATTTTCGGGGAATGCCAGGCCTCTCATTAAGCTGCCATCATAGACCAGGCTCTGAGCCCAGCCTGTCACTGGCTCATATTGGAGGACATGAAGCCAACCCGAATTTCTCCCATTTAGTGAAAAGAAAGTGCCCTCGGCCTACTTCTTCCTCCATGAGGCCCATTGTCTGAGGTTTCGAGCCCTCTGTCCAGAGTGCAAGGAGGTCATCCTGAAAGAAGAGATAAAGGAGCACCAAGAGAATGGACACAAGCAGGTGGGGAGATGAATCCTAGGTTCCCTGGCCTGGTGCCTAGAAGTCCCAGAGCCTAATAGGAGTTCTACGCCATATCACTCATGAATGAATGAATGAATGAACGAAAGCCTGGATGAAGAGCTAGGCATCTATGAGGCAGGGATTGTAACAGCAGCTCCCTGCAGGAGTGCCCTGGATGGGGATGGCACACAGAGGCGAGCAAGGGGCCAGGGAAGGGTGTCCTTGTTTGGGGTCCTGGGGCCTCTGAGGTGGGAGTAATGAGAAGTCAGGTGACATGCCAGAATGAAATAATAATACCAATTTGCTCTCTGTACCTAGAGCAAGAGGCAGGGACTGGGGAACTTAATGTCCATGGTTGCAGAGCTAGTACCAAGACGGCCCTAGGATAGCCGGACAGGATAGGCAGCACCTGGGGTTGTCAAGACCGAGTATGAGAGCCAAGTTTGCATTCAACCACCGATCAAGCCAGCCGTGCCCCCAGGGTAGGAGATCCGGACTTCTCCAGGGACTGGGAGAAAGGCATGTGATGCTTCAATTTCCTCATTCGCCAAATGGAGCTGAATGCTCCTTACTGTACCTTCCCTTCCAGAAGAAACCCAGCCCTCCTTACCCCTTCTCCGACTGAGCCATCTCAGCTTGACCCACCTGAGTCCCTCCCTCTGAGGTTCCCCTGCTCACTGACCTCAATCTCTCTTCCTACACTTAGGTCCAGTGCAGTCTGTGTCTACAAAGCATGAAGAAACATCTGCTAGAAGCTCATGAGGTTAGAACTCTGTCCTGGGAAGGATGAGGTGGGGAGGTGGGAGGAATTTCCCAGTCTGCTCGGCCTGCTCCTCCACTGGACCAGCAGCTGAGTCTCACAGGCACTAGATGAGAGCCCACAGCTAACTGCCTGATGCACAGCCCTGGGACATTATCAAGGCTGATAGCAGCCCCAAGGCTTGACTGAAGCCTTTGCCTCCTGGTGGGATGGAGAAGAGAGCTGGTCGGGCATTTCTTCCTTCCCCTTAGGCTGAGTGTCCTGAGCGCCTTATCGCATGTGAATTCTGTGAACTGGCAGTGCCACTCAGTCACCTGGAAGAGCATGAGACCAGCTGTGGCAGCCAGACAGTGTCCTCCCTCACCCGTCAGCAGCCTGTCCTCCCTGCACAGCTGGCCAGCCAGGAAGCACTCTACATGGACAAGCCTAAAAAGTCCAAGAAAGGTGAGTGGCCCCAGGGCAAGGGCTTTGGAGGAGCGGGAGGATTGTCCTATCACAGCTGCTGCCCAACTTTCCTGCATGGGGCTCCTCTCATTTACTGAACCCTAGCTCTGGGTCTCAGTTCCCCAATTTGTAAAATGGGGGTAGTACCCTAGATGCACTCTGCGACCTTATCCATTTCCCCCTGCCTCCAACTCCGTGTTCTGAAAGTCTAGGACTCTGTGTGCTCCTTCCCGAACAGTGAGTGCCCAAGGTCACAGAGTATGTTTGGGGAAGCACCAGCCTTGTCCCTTCTTCACTCACTCCCTGTACCAGGGCCAGCCCTGGCTTCTGCTTTTGCCAGGCTCCTAGCACTGCACTGACTGGCAGTCTTGGCATTGCTCCAGCAAACCCCACCGGGCACCCCAAACAGCTCATTGTGGAGTCTATGCTGGTTCTGAGTTAGAAACATGGTGTTCTCTTTCCTTTTGCTCCATCATGCCTGCACTCAAAAGACCAGTGGTGGGAGTCTGACAGATTCCCAGACTGGTTGGACTGGTCCACCCAAGAGAAGGGTACTCCTTGCTCCTTTCGCCGAGCAGTGGTTGCAGGAAGAGGTCTGGGAGGCAGGGGACAGGTGCCGCCCTCTGGCCCCACCGAGGCAGGCTCAGCTTGATGCTGGTCTGGACTTGTCAGCAGTGCTAGGGAGTGGCAGGGTTGGGGCGGGGGCGGCTCAGTCTCTAAGATCTGGTGACCCTGCTGCAGGAAGTTGGGGTACAGCCCTCTGCTGATATAGTAGCAGCCAAAGAGAACTGGAAAAAGAGACTTAATTGTGTCATTGTTGGGATTGTTTTCCAAAGTTCTCAGAAAGAAAGTTAGCTGCCCAAAGTGCCCACAAGACATTCCAGAAGCAAAGTTTTCCCAGCATTGGGTGAGTAACTGGAGTAGGGTGGAGGCAGGGGGGTGCTCCCAGGTGCTCTGGAAGCTGAGTAGGGGAGCTGGTGGCTGGATGGGGGTGCTCCCAGGTGCTCTGGTGGCTGGATAGGGGAGCTCCCAGGTGCTCTGGCAGCTGGGTAGGGGTGCTCCCAGGTGCTCTGGTGGCTGGGTAGGGGAGCTGGTGGCTGGATGGGGGTGCTCCCAGGTGCTCTGGTGGCTAGATAGGGGAGCTCCCAGGTGCTCTGGCAGCTGGGTGGGGGTGCTCCCAGGTGCTCTGGCAGCTGGGTGGGGGTGCTCCCAGGTGCTCTGGCGGCTGGGTGGGGGAGCTCCCAGGTGCTCTGGTGGCTGGGATGAGGTGAAGGCAGTGGGAACACTCAGGACATTCAGTGATTAGTCCGAGTGTTAAGATATTGGGGATGTTCTAGAATGTTGTGGGGTTCAGTCGCTGGTAGTAGTATGAAGACAGGAAGATCTGAATTCAAATCTGGCCTTTATACTCACTAGTTGTTTGACCCTAGGCAATCTGCCTCAGTTTTCTTATCTATAAAATGGGGATAATAATAGCGCCTATATAATGTTGTAAGGAACAAATGAGAGATTTATAAAGAGTTGAGTAAACCTGAAGTGTTACATAAATGCGTGCTGCTATGGTTCTGCTCAGGGCTGCTCTGGTATTGTGGCTGGACCTGGCATCTAGGCAGTGGAAGTGCTCAGGGTTGTTCTGCTCCTGCCATCAGGCCCATGAACCCTAGGCTCAGCCTCTGAGAGCCTCAGGGCCCACGTTGGACTATGTGGCCAATCCTTGGGGCTCCCAGCTTGGAGAAGGGGGTAGGGTCTGGTTCTCTGGAAGAGCAGGTTAAGGGGAACAGCCCCTGCCTCAGGGGAGCTTAAGCCTTGGGTGGGGGAGGGAAGGCAGACTAGACCTTCCTCTTCCTCCTCTTCCTCCTCCTTTGGCTGGGGCTGTGCCTGTGGGAGGCTGGGTTCTTGGGTCCAAGTCTAGCAAGCTATGTGATCTCAAATCAGTCAATAAATATGTATTCATCGCCTGCTGTATGCCAGGCTGGCACTGTGCTAAGCCCTGGAGATACAAAAAAGGCAAAAAAACAGTTACTGCTGTTAAGAAGATCTCAGTCAAATGGTGAGGCAACATACAGAAAAGAGCTAAAGCCTTGGGAGGGAGGGCATGATGGAATACAGAGGGGCTTTGGCTGGGCAGGAAATGAGGGAGGCTAGGACCAGTTTCAAAGATGATGGAGGAGATTCTGGAGATCGGGACAGGCTGAGAGGGGCGTCGTCTCCCGGACTGGAAAATGAAGTCTCAAGTCCACAGTCTCTCAAAAGGGTCTCTCCAAGAGGCCCCAGTGATGCCCCTTAGGGGAGGGCGCCCCTGAGGAGAGGGAGGACAAGGAGCTGTAGCCCCACCCCCAACCTGGGCCAGGCTATGTGGTCTTTGGTGCCTCCTCCCTGCCTCTCTCCTTCTTTTTCTCCCTCCCTCTTTTCCTCCCTCCCTCCTCCCATTCATAGATGCCCCTTCCTTTCCAAACTACTGGGGTGGCTCTGAGGCAGTCTACCTATGCCAGGCAGGTAGGCAGGCTAGCCACCCATTCCTGTGAAGGTTATCTGGTTGGACTATGGCCACATGCAGCTGCTTCTTCCTGCCCATGTGCAGGATGAATGCCATAGGTTCAGGGGGCTGATGAAATCCTTTGATGCCTGTCTGCCCAAGAAGCCTGAACAGCCTTCTCCAGTCCTGCAGGATCCAGAACCAGCTGAGGCACCCATCGGAGAGAGGGTTGTGCGTCCAAAGAAAGAAAGCCGCTCATTTAAAACGCCACTGAGCTCCTGGCCTGCCCAGAGCCAGAAGGAAAAAGAGTACGATGTTCTGAAAGGCTGTGCCCGTTGCCGCATCCTGCTTCCTCTGCCTGTGCTGCAGCAGCATGAGGTAGGCCCTGAAGCTCTGGGGGAGGACATCAAAGAGTGGCCCTCCTGGCAGAGCACCCTCTCCCAAGCAGAGCCTGTCTGCAGGCCACAGTAAGCCTTTTGGATGGCTTACAGCCAGGAAAGGGAAATATCCCTAAATGCCCTCCATGAACAAAGGGAAGGGCTGAGCACAGAAGCAAAGGCCTCCCAAGGGCTATACAAGGACCTACAAGAGCCTGGGGACATCCAGCCAGGCTTCCTAGAGGAGGTGCCATTTGCACAGGGAGAGATGAGGGGGCAGAGCATAGCATGAGTTTGCAGGACAGGGACAGGGAAGAGAGAGCAGCAACTTGGCTAGGCGGCTGGGCTGGGCAGGGCAGGGCAGCCTGGACTAGAAGAATGATGTGGGACCCTAGATTTAGAGCCAGAAGAGACTTAGTTCTTCATTTTACAGGAGAGGAAGCTGGGGCAGCCAAGAGGTGAAACACCTTGTCCAAGAAGGCACAGGTTAGAAGACCACAGGGAAGAAGCCTGATGTGAAGAAGGGAATAGATTGGATGAGAGGGAGAGTGCTCAAGCCATCAGCAGCCCCACATGGCTGCTGCCCCGTGGGCTGGCAGGCCTTGAGCAAACACTTCCTGCTTTGTGGAGATCTAGAATACTCACTGCACTTGTGGTTGTCGGGTCAGCTACCTGTCTTCATTCCTTCCCTTAGGAGAAGTGCCGACGCTTGACTTCTCAGAGCAATGAAAGATTCTGAAGCAGAGCATTGCTGGTAGATCTGGAAAATTCCTAACCTGGAGAAGGAGGTCCTCTGAAGATCCCCACTGCTTTCTGCCTACCTGCCTGCCTGCCTGGGCTTTGCTATGTATTATCCATTAGGCTTTTCTTTTTCAGAGAAAAGTCCTTACACATAAAGGGTGATACCATAAGCAAATTAAAAGAACATGGAATAGTTTGTCTGTCAGATTTATGGATAAGGGAAGAATTTAGGATTAAACAAAAGATACAGAGAGCATTGTAAAATAGATAATTTTAGTTATATAAAATTTAAAGTTTTTGCACAAACAAAACCAAGGCAACCAAAATTATAAGGAAAGCAGAAAACTGGGGGCGGGGGGGAACTTTGCAGCAAGTATCTCTGATAAAGGCCTCATTTCTCAAATATATAGAGAACTGAGTCAAATTTGTTAGCAACAAAAGTTACTCGAAGCTATTGGTGAACCAGGAAAAAGCAAACTTTTTATTAACAGCCTAGCAAGGCCTGGTGTCCCATGTGTGGGCACACCTTACAGAAGGGAGAGCAGGGCTTCTCGTTCCTAGGCCCACATTGCAGTTCCCTCCTGATTCCCCACTGACTGGGTAATGCAGGGTTTACAGCCTGTCCAGAGTGCCTAATTTCCTCACTGAGTCTCTGACCCTAATCACATCTCCCACCCCTCCATTTCCATATCAACAGCCTCCAGCTGTCAATACTCATCACCCTGATGAATGATATGCAGAAGGAATATTCCCAACCACATTTTCTACAAATGTATAAGAATACAAGTCATTCCCTAATTGATAAATGGTCAAAGGATATGAACAGGCAGTTTTCAGACAAAGAAATCAAAGCTATCTATAGTCATACTAAAAAATGCTGTAAATCATTCTTAATCAGACAAATGCAAATTAAAACAGTTCTGAGGCACCACCTCACACCTATCAGATTAGCTAACATGACAAAACAGGAAAATGTTAAGTGTTGGAGGGGATGTAGAAAAACTGGGACACTAATGAACTTTTGGTGGAGTTGTGAACTGATCCAACTATTCTGAAGAGCAATTTGGAACTATGCCCAGAGGACTATAAAACTGTGCATACCCTTTTTAAAAATAAATTTTTGGGGGCAGTTAGGTGCCACAGTGGATAGAGCTCTGGCCTTGGAGTCAGGAGGACCTGAGTTCAAATCCAGTCTCAGACACTTGACACTTACTAGCTGTGTGACCTCAGGCAAGTCACTTAACCCCAATTGCCTCACCAAAAAGAAAGAATAAATAAATTTATTTATTTTTAGTTTTCAACATTCACTTCCACAAGATTTTGAGTCCCAAATTTTCTCCCCATCTTTCCCTTCCCCTGCCCCCACCCAAAGACAGCATGCAATCTGATATGGACTCTACTTATACATTCATATTAAACCTATTTTCACATTAGTCATGTTGTAAAGAAGAATTAGAACCTATGGGAGAAACCATGAGAAAGAAGAAACAAAGAGAGAGAGAGAGAGAGAGAGAGAGAGAGAGAGACAGAGAGACAGAGAGACAGAGAGAGAGAGAGAGAGAGAGAGAGAGAGAGAGAGAGAGAGAGAGAGAGAGAGCAAATAATATGCTTCCACCTGCATTCAGACTCCATAGTTCTTTTTCTGGATGTGGATAGCATTTTCCATCATGAGTCTTTTGGAGTTGTCTTAGACCTTACATTGCTAAGAAGAAGTTTCCAGGTTTTTCTGAAGTCTGCCTGTTCATCATTTCTTACAGCACAATAGTATTCCATTACATTCACATACCACAACTTCTTCAACCATTCCCCAATTTATGGGCATCCCCTCAATTTCCAATTCTTTGCCACCACAGAAAGAGCTGCTATAAATATTTTTGTACATGTGGATCCTTTTCCCATTTGTATGACCTCTTTGGGATACAGACCTAGGAGTGCTATTGCTGATCAAAGGGTATTGCGCATACCCTTTGATCCAGCAATGCCACTGCTAAGTCTTTATCTCAAAGACATCCAAAAAAAGTGCAAAGGACCTATTTGTACAAAAATATTTATAGCAACTATTTGTGGTAGCTAAGAATTGAAAATCAATGGAATGCCCATCAATTGGGGAATAGCTGAACAAGTTGTGGTATATGAATGTAATGGAACAAGAAATGACAAGCAGGATGATTTCAGAAAACCCTGGAAAGACTTATATGAACTGATGAATGCTGAGTGAAGCAAGCAGAACCAGGAGAATGCTGTGCATAGTAACAGGAACATTGTGCAATGATCAGCTGTGACTGACTCAGCTTTTCCCAGCAATACAATGATCCAAGACTACCCCCAAAGGACTCATGATGAAGCTGACTCTCTGGCTCCAGAGACAGAACTGATATTGATTGAAGAAAGACTGAAGCAGGCTAGTTTTCACTTTGTTCCTTCCATTTTTTTCATTAGTCTTCTTGTACAAAATGACTAATATGGAAATGTTTTACATAATTTCACATACATAACATATATCTAATTGCTTACCCTCTCAGGGCAGGAGAGGGATAGGATTTGGAATTCAAAACTTTAAATGAGAATACTAAAAAAAAATTTTTGAAAGAGAGAGAAAAGCCAGAGGAAAGAATTTGAATTTGCACCAACTTGTTCTGGCCAAAGGACTTAGCCCTTAGAATGGCTCTGGGGGAGGGGAGGGAATCTTCATTCCTTCCCCTCCCCACTCATGGAAGTCCGAGCTCCAAGAAAGTTCTCAAACCATAGCCCTGTGAGTTTGCCCCATGTAGAATACAGATTTATTTATTCCCAAAGAATGAAATGCACACCCAACTTCCCAGTTAAATTAAACAAGGATGGAATTTGCGGCTCCTGGAACCATCCGGGGGTGGCCACTGGCCTCCAGGACCCTGCTCAGATTGTTCTCCTACTGGGAAAAGCCACTGCCCACACCCATGGTGGGGGTTGGTGCTGCCCCTCTTCCTCTGCTCTGTGCTTCTCAGAGGCTTCCTGATTGGGGTGGGGGGAGCAGTGTTGGTTGTCTTGGGAGAGTTTTAGCTTTTCCAGAAAGTGTTTGAACTTCCTTCTTCTGTCCTTTAGACACCCCCAGCAATTAAGCATGACCACCCAGCCAAACAGTCCAACACAAGTGGTTGGGGGAAAGGGTGTGTCACGTTTCACCCTCCTGCTAGAAAGGAGGAGACCACTGGGATCTGGGGGCTGTGCTAGAGCGGAGTTCCACTGATCTGGAGGTAGGGACAATGAATTCTAGACCCCAGATAGTTGACTACCTTTAAACAAGGAATCTCTGTGCCTTGGTTTCCCCATCAGTAAAACAGATATGACTTACTTGTCCTCTTATCCTCTTTCAAAGACCTGAACAAGATCTTGAACTAGACCCTGACAGGCAAGAGGCAGACAAGCCCTTTACCTCCTGACAACCAGACATTTTGCAGGAGTCTTGCGCTGTCTCAAGGACGCAATACTCCCATGAAAACCATGGTTCTAACTCCTTCAGGAGTCTATCCTCTGACAGCATCCAGGCTGTGCCTCTCCACCGGTCCTTGACGTCTTGATGAAGGTGAGAATCAGAGGTGCAAGAGCAGTCAGAAGGGGGAGGCCCTTAAGGACGGCCCAGCAAGTCCACGATCCCGAAGTGAGGAAGCCCAGAAAGAGGTAAGGCTTTTCTCAGCGTCGCGGAGCGGGACAGTGGCAGGGTTTCATCCTTCCCGAGCTGGAAGAGGGGCTGGGAGTGGTCATCCCTTCCCTCATCCACAGACCGGGGACTTGGGCGGGAGAAGGGCAGTGCCTCCCCTCCTCGCCAGGGCCTGGAGGCGTCATAAAGGCGCCCCCTTCACCCCAGTTAGCCGTGAGCGACTTCCCTGCCAGCCGGCTGCTGCCTGCGTGCCCACGGAGCCCTGGGCGCATTTGACCAAACACAGGCGGCGGCGCAGGCCCCCGACGGACTAGGGCCTCGCACAGGAGGGGGCGGGCGCGCTCCAGCCTGCGGCGGTGGCTGCAGCAGGACCCAGGGCACAGCTGGTGCGTGGCGGCGGCCCCCAAGAATGCTATGGGGGTAGACCAGGGTCGTGGCCAGGGGGATGGGATGGGGCGGTCCAGGGTCCCAGTCACCGTCCCTTTGAGCGCTGCAGCAAGATCCCTGCTCCACTTTAGCCGCAAGACTCTTCCCCGGCCAATTCCCTAGACTTAAAAAACCTGGCCCTAGCCCCGCAGCTCCGATACCCAGCGCCCCACGAGGGTCCCGCAGCCGCCTTTCCTTTTGGGGCTGAGTCAAGAACGCCACCTCCGCCCTGTCTCTGCTCCACCCCATCCCGCCTTCCCCAACCTTGGCGTTTGACTGGGAACCGTTAGTTCTCAGACTAGAAGAAAAGAAATTAGGGAGGACCTTTTCCTTGGGGGTGAGGGGTGGGGTTAAAGCAAGCTGAGAGTGATTGCTCGATCTCCACTGCTCTTCCCCCTTCTCCTCCTTCTCCCTCTTTCCATTTTCCTCCCTCCTTTTCTCTTCTCCTCTTCCTCCTCCCTTCCTCAGCCACTAGCTACCTTCCTCTTTAATTTGGAGAGGAAACTAGAGATTTGTTAGGTCCATTCAGCATCTCTTAGGATTCTGTGCCTCATTTGTAATCTTAAAGAACAAGATCTAAATTTCCCACCAATTTGCCATCTCCCCTAAGCAGGGTTGCAGACAAATTTAGTGATGACTCCTCTGTCCCAGGAATTTCCTGGGTGCTCTCTCCCTCTCCTCCCTCCACTCCACTGCTCCACTCTCTCCTCTCTCTCTGTCTGTCTCTGTCTCTGTCTCTCTCTGTCTATCTGTCTGTCTGTTTCTCTGTTTGTCTGTCTGTCTCTGGAGGGGTCTCCTGAGTGGGGTCCCTGTCCTCAAAGAGGGGTTCAGTCACAGAATCACATTCTGAGAGGTGGGAGGGATCTGAATGGCCCAGTTTTGGAGAAGGGGAGGTAGCCTATTTTGGAGGACAATGTCAGGCCAAGGGGGATGGGCACAGTGTTTCCCCTCCTTGCTCAGATTCCTCCACAGGCTAGGGGAGAGGGGACTTGGAGCTTGACCTTGAAGGCTGGGGTATGACTTGGATTGGGGGGGAATCTGAGGAAAGGGGATGCAGGGGAGGGGAAGGGGGAACTGTAACTGGGAGCAGAGGCAGGCAGCCAAGGAAGCTCAGGGGAGACTGACCCAGGGGATGAGGGGAAGGGCAGGAAGAAGATTGCAAGGCAAGGGCTGTGCTCTGTGTGTACAGTGACACTGGCCTTCCAGCTGCTCCTCACACAGCACCCTCCATCACCAGACTCCAGGCATTTCCTCTGGCTGTGCCCCCTGTCTGGGGGACAGTGCACCCTCCCATCTCCATCCCCATCTTCTGCAGGAAGGAAAACTTTCTTTATGCCCCTCAATGCTCCACTCTCCCTTCTTTTATCACTTTTTCTCATCTAGAGTTTGCCCATATTTGTTTGCTAGTTGTCTCCCATGAACTCCTTGAAGGTGGGGGGGGTGGGGGTGCTGTCTTTTGCTTCTTTTTGTATTGCCATCATTTACTGCAGTACCCACCACACAGTAGGTGCTTAATAAATGCTTATTGACTGACTGATTATATAGATGACAGACAGGAGCAGCTATGCATGTGAGCAGGCAGGTAGATAGTTACATAGATACATAGAAAAAGAGGTGGACAGACTGATAGGAAGGCAGGCAGATATAGACAGAAGGATAGATGGATGGATGGATGTACAGAACCAAGCAAGAAATGGGCTGACAGGCAGGCAACCTGGCAAGCAGACAAATTGGCAGACTGGATGGTGAGGAGACCGATAAAAAGCCAGCCTGGCAGCTTGATGGGTACATAAGGGCAAGCAGAGAGAGATGGGCCTGGGGCAGCTAGGTGGCTCAGTGGATAGAGCACTGGCCCTGAAGTCGGGAGGACCTGAGTTCAAATCTGACCTCAGACCAAACACTTAACACTTACTAGCTGAGAATGGGAAGAAAATTGAGGAGCTCAGGGATATGCTCTCAGAAATTATTTGAAAAGGCAAGCAGACAGACAGATGCTCAGATAGATGGATGGACAGACAAGCAGACAGACTGGCAGGTAGACGGAAAGAGAGATTGGCAGACACTAAGCTGATATACAGACAGACAAGTAGACAGATTGGCAAACACAGAGATAGGCAGAAATATGGAAATATAGATGGCAGACAGATAAAAAGATGGATAGACAAGGAGAGAGAGGAGAAAGAGAGAGAGGGAGACAGAGAGACAGAAAGAGAGGCACACAGATGCCCAGATGGGTAATAGGCAAGTAAAGTAGAGACAGGTAGAAAGATAGATGGACAGACCAATACAGGGAGACAGAAAGATGAACAAACAGATAAACAGACACAAAGACAGGCAGATAGGTGGACAGACAAGACAGACAGACAGTAAAGCAGGTAGGCAGACAGGGCCAGGGAAGCAGACGAATAGACAGGCAGATAAGCAGATGCACCCAAACAGATGGGCAGCCAGCTGGGCAGAGGATGAACAAACAAGAAGACAGAGACTGAAGATCCTCTCCTCCTTGCTTCCCTCCCCCCCCCCAGGAACCAAGTGGCTCCTTGTCCCCTCTTGGCGACCTGCCTCCACCACCGCCTCCCTGGAGCACCCCGCTGGCTTTCCCTATGGATGAAGAGAGCGACCTGGCCCAGGGCCACGAGCAGAGCTGCTGGGCCAGCCTGCCTGACGTGTGTTTGCGCCGGGTGTTCTGGTGGCTAGGAGACAGGGACAGGTCTCGGGCGGCGCTGGTCTGCAGGAAGTGGAACCAAACGATGTACTCCGCCGACCTGTGGCGGTGCCGCACCATCACTTTCAGCGGGAGACCTTCCCGGTCCCACGCGTCGGAGTTCGAGTCGGCGCTTTGGTACGTGAAGAAGTTCGGCCGCTACTTGGAGCACCTGGAGATCAAGTTCCTGAACCCGTACAACGCCGTGCTGACCAAGAAGTTCCAGGTGACCATGCGGGGCCTGCTGTCGTGCCTGGGCAAGAGCAACAGCCGCCTCAAGTCCCTCTCCATCCAGCATCTGGAGCTCGACCGGCTGGTGTGGAGGAGCAGCATCCGCACGTCCTTCATCAAGAGCCTGAGCTTCTTCCTGAAGAAGGTGAGCAAGCACCTGGCCTACCTGAACCTGAAGGGGGCGCGGCTGGCCGTGGAGCAGGGCTGCCATGTGCTCAGCGCGCTGAGCCACCTGCGCAGCGAGAGCTTCGCCTCGGAGCTCAACCTGGAGGACTACTTCAGCCACCACCTGGCGGTCTACAGCAGCCCGCAGTTCAACCAGACAATGGCCATGTTTCGGAGCCTGGCCGTCCTGACGCTCAACTATAACTGCATCTCCGACGAGCTGCTCGAGACCCTGGGAGAGAACAATGCCAGCTCCCTGTGGACCATCAACATCAAATGCCACATCCACGACCCCCACGGCCAGGTCATCTGGGGCATGTCGTGGGCCAAGCTGGCCAAGCACGCAGCCAACCTCAGGGTCAACTTCTTCTTCGAACGGGTCATGAAGCACGAGCGTCTGACCCGAATCCTTCTGCAGGAGATTCCCGTCAGAAGTGTCAGCCTGAGAAGTTGCTACTTCAGTGACCCCGACTGGTCTATGCGGCCAACCCTCACTGACCTGCTGCCCACCTACCGCCACACGCTGCAGGTAGGCCAGGAGGTTCCGCTTCTTGGGGAAGGAAGGGGAAGGAAAAGAGAAAGATAGGGGAAGATCGCTGGTGGGGATGGATGGATCAGGCTGTGGTCTGTTGTTATTGTCGTTTTTTAATAATTGGGAGGGGGTACTTTGGCATGTTTATAAGGAACAGGGAAGGGAGACAGTAGACAGGGAGAGATTAAAGATGAGAGAGAGAGAGAGAGAGAGAGAGAGAGAGAGAGAGAGAGAGAGAGAGAGAGAGAGAGAGAAAGAGAGAGAGAGAGAAGGGGGCAGCTAGGTGGCGCAGTGGATAGAGACCGGCCCTGAAGTCAGGAGGACCTGAGTTCAAATCCGGCCTCAGACCACACACTTCACACTTACTAGCTGTGTGACCCTGGGCAAGTCACTTAACCCCAATTGCCCCCCAAAAATAAATAAGTAAAGATGAGAGAGAGAGAGAGACAGAGTGACAGAGACAAGGAGATAGACAGAGAGACAGAGGGAGGGAGAGACAGAGAGAGAGACAGGGAGACAGAGACAAAGACAGAGAGAGAGAAAGGAGAATCTGCTAGAAGACAAGATGAAATGGGATTAAGGATGCATGTAGAGAAGGGTTAGTCTTAACTAGGAGAAGGGTCACCTCATCATTAGAAATATGAGTGGTGAAAGATATCTGAATTTGTGTGAGATGAGGAGGCAAGAAACCTTCAGAGACTGGCCTCTATTCTTCTGTGATATATGAGGTGAAGTTCTCAGATGAGAGGGCGAGGGAAGGAGATACTGAGGAAGGCTTAAGGAGAGAAGAGGTTTACAGCAGACACTGTGTTGTGTGGGATAGAGAATCGATTAAGGAGGCAAAGGATACTTAGCTTACTGCAATGGAAGCCCAGTTGGGATTAGCTAACATAACCATGTAGACAACTCAATCAACACAAAAGGCTCCACAGTTTTCCCTAGCTCTATTAGGCAGCACATGAAGAGGGGAGAAGGAGGTGGGTGGTGGTAATGATTCAGAGTTGGGGTTTAGCCAGTTGTAGATGGAGATAGGCCAAGAGGGCCAGAGGTTCATGAACAGAGGATGGGGTGGGGTTGAGTTGGTTCACAGAGGGGTCAAGACAGAGTGGGCAGGACAGTATAAACATTGCATATAGGGTGATGGTCTAGGGAAGAATGGAAGGATTAGAGGTCATGATGAGAACAAAAAAGGAGGGGTGAAGGTTATAAGGCATAGGGAAAGACAGAATGATAAAAGATTATACTCAATGTTCAAGAACAAGGAAATGGAACACTTGTGGGGGGTGGCCTATTCAAGGTGAGGGGGGGCATCTCTAAGTGTAGCTAAGACTGAGTGGAGGGCCACGAGGTCATTCCTAAGTAGCTTGAGGAAGTGGGAAGTCCGAGGACTTGAAGGAATTGACCATCAAGTCTTCTAGCAGAGGACAGGAATTGAGGAGTGAAAGACTGTGAGTCAGGCCCTGAACTCTAGGTCCTGAGGGTCCTGAGGGTCGTGAGGGAAGTGGCAGCCAGGATCTGGGAAAGAGCAGGCGGACGCTTTGTTCAAGGCATCCCAGTTGTGCTGGCTGTCTTAGCACTGACTGATGCTTGGCAGTCAAGGCTCTCTGGGCTTAGCTCCTTCCTCTCCCCAGCAGGTTCCTTGTTTAGTTCTGCCCTGGGGTCTTTGATGCCCAGGGCACAGGCCTGCCATGGTGCTTGTGGACAGATATGAGGATGGCTTCCCTGCCAATTTCCTCTGGGGGTCTCTGCCCAGGAGTGAGGTAGCCAAGGTGCCAGGAAGGTGCCCAAGAGATAAGCAGAGGGCTCCTGGCTCCTCCTCTTCTTCCACATGAGACCTGATTTCTTTTCTCTCTGATCCTTTCCCAGAAATTAACTTTCGAATTCAACAACAACCATGAGTCTTTGGATGAGGAGCTTCTCCACCTCATCTTGTCCTGTGAGAAGTTGTTTTACTTCAAAATCTGGGCCTTCCTAGACGTCAAATTTGTGGAGAGAATCTTGCAGAGCCAGGAAGAAGGCAAATGCATGCTTCGCACACTCAAGGTAGCCAGTCCCCTGGGGACCTCAGCTTCCCAACCAGGACTCCATATCCCACAATGCCTGGGCCTGCAGGGCTGATGCTCCCTTGGTCAGGTCAGCAGTCGCTAAGTGGCAGAGACCTGCCCTTCCCCCATGTGCCAGTGGCTGTTGAGATGAGTGTAGTGAAGAAAAGAACCTGGGTCCCAATCCCAGTGTGGCCTCTCACCAGCTCCTGTCCATCTACACTTACTCTGTCCCTTCCTTGGCACAGTGAGGGGGTGGGATTCTGTCCTTTCAGACTCTGAAACCTTGAGAAGGTGCTGAGATTTCCACTTAGTCTGCCCATGGGCTTTTGGGGGGAGGGTTATTATTCTTACTAACTGGACTTTTACCTCACTGGTTGCCTGTGTAAGGACCCCACAGTAACTGTGTATGTGGGGTGGGGTGGGACTTTCTGTGTTGATCAAGGTGAGAATTTACACAAACAGATATGAGACAAATGAAGAGGACAGAATGTTGCGGGACATTTACCGAAAGTACAGAAACCTGATCGATACAGAGTTTAACTATTTTGTCATCGCCTACCCCATGATGTGAGGAGCACACCCAGGAGGAGAGTGGCTTTGCTGCCCTGGGGCTTCTGAGCCCTGTCCTCCACAGAGCTGTCCCTGGAGCCTTCCTCAGAGCCTGGTTCTCCCTGCAGCCAGAGCAGAATCCTGAGTGTGTGGGGCCAGGTGCTCTCCCAGCCTCCCAAGTCCTTTAAATGCTGTCTTTACATCCACCCTGGGCTGCTGATTCCTCTGCTTGTCATATTGTCTGTTTTTTTTCCCCACCTCACTCCCTGACTCAGGCTCACCCAGGCCCTGGACCTGACTCCCCTTGGACTGACTTCAAATTGGGTCCTGATACTTTAGCAGTGAGTTTTCTTAGGCCCAAGTTCACAGTTTCAAGGCAGACCCCTTCCCCTCTCTCAAGAGCGCCTACTAGATGGAGGCCATCTTGTAATGGGAAGTCAGTCCTCTGTCCTAGAATGACAAAGAGGGGCATGTAACAGGCAGAAAAACCTGGCCTTGGTGCCAAGACTTTCCTGATGATTACAACAATCATCTAAAGTGGCATAGGCTGTCTGATGTGGGGGGCAGGGTATCCCTGAGGGCTTCTGGGCCAGGTCTGGCTTGGGCTGAATACTGTCTTAGGGCTCTGCCAGCTCAGGGGTCTCTGCTTGGAGCCCCCAGCTCCTGAAGAAAAGAAGAAATCCTGGATTCCCTCAGATTGTCTCTGTCCTACATTCATCAGGTGGGTCAGCGCTGCCCATTTGATAACCCAGCTTCCTCTTCCTCCTTTGCCTCCTCCTCCTCTGCTTTTCATCCCCCTGGCCCGACTGTCCTGGGAGCTTGGCTCTGGATTGGGCTGGGCTCAGCTCCTGTTGGTTGATGGACAGATTGTTCCTTCTGGAATGGGGGTGGCAGAAGAGGCTTTTGGGCTTCTTGGATCCAGGCTTCAGCTCTGAGAAGTCAGCTGGTGGGCGTGTGCCTTGTCCTGGTGGAGAGACCTCTGCTGGCCAGTCCACTCACACCTGGCTTCTGGGAAGACAACTATTGGCCAGGTGACTGGGGTAGCAGGAAGCATGAGGGTCAAGGTCCAGATTCCTGGTCCCTGCCCCTCAGCGGCCTTCATTCTCTTTGGTGCATGGCCTACCCTGCCTCATTGTGTTTGAGGGCTCAGTGTATCTCTTGTCTCACCTGCACCCTAGCACCAAGGGACCACAAGTGGAGGTGTGGGGACAGCACCTCTGGCCTCGGATGGGAGAACCTCAGGGGCCCTGTTAGGCATGCTGGCCCAGGACATGGCTGTGTCCTCTAGTGCTAGGGGATCCATCCCATCTTGGGGTTCTCCTGGGACATTCTTGGGGTCTGAGATCAGGATTGCAAGGGGTTTGGGGCTGCCACAGTTGCCAGTGGGTCCGTGGTCTGTGATAAAAGTTGGCTCATGGACTTGTCTGAAGCAAACTAAGGATGGTTCACTTGGAGAAGGTGAGAATGACAAGGGTCCGATGGGACCAGCCCTCCTATGCTTGGCCCCAGGGGCAGCATCAGGAGCAAAGTGGGAGAGAAGGGGAAGACGCAGGAAGGCCACTTGGCTGGGGGTCAGGAGAAGCTGCCTAACCCACAAGCTGTCCTAGTATGGAAGAGGCTGACCCAGGAGGCAGCAACCTAGCCGAGGGTGAATGACCTGGTCAAGGGGTCTGTCATCATTTTCAGCTCTGGGATTCTGCTGAGTGACCCGAGACCCTACTTTCCCCCAGAGTAGACCCAAGGACAACTGGCAAGCCAGCAAACCCAGGCCAGGGTTAACGACATCAGCTCCATTCCAGCAGGACTGGATGGTGGGACTGGACACCATTTACCAAAAGCCTCCAGGAGAGGTGCTGAAATACACTGCCCTTCTCTCAAGAAAGAGGTGGGGAACCATGGATGATGAGTACACATCCAGAGAGGTGCAGGAGAATATCAGGAAGACACAAAAGACTTCTCTCAGCAAAGCTGGAAGGGGCAGAGCCTGCTGCTTCTCACCAGCTAAAACCTCCAGGTAGGAGACAAGAGATACACTAAGGTAATGGGTGCACTCACACATTGTTCCACCTCCTTATTACACAAGCTGCCCCCCCCCAATTAATGATCCCTGATTGCCCATGACCTGAACTACACCCTGGGACCCTGTCTTGATTTTTAAAAAATAATTTTCCCCCAATAGCTCTATTTAATTTTATTGTCAATTCAGAATTCTCTCCCTCCTCTTTCCCCTTGCCCCTCTCCTCACCTAAGGAGAAAGCCAGAAAAACAAAACGCATTACAAATATGTCTAGTCAAGCAAAATAAGCTAAGACTACAAATAGAAGCAGCTAGGGGCAGCTGGGTAGCGTATGGAGAAACAGCTGCGTCTGGTGTTGGTAAGGCCTGGGTTCAAATGTGGCTTCAGACTCTTACTAGCCATGTTACACTGGACGAATCACTCAACCCTGTTTGCCTCAGTTTCTTTATCTGTAAAATGAGCTGGAAAAGGAAATGGCAAACCGCTTCAGTATCTTTGCAAGGAAACCCCAAATGGGGCCACAAAGAGGCAGACATGACTGAAAGAACCATACAACTGAAAAATAAAAAGGCAAGGGGAGAAAATCCATTTCAGTAAGCCCTCTATGGCCAGCAGCTCTCTCAGAAGGTGGGCAATACGTTTCATCACAGGTCTTTTGCAATTGTGGTGGATCATTGTCTTGATCGTTATTAAGTCTTTCACATAATTACAATGTTGCTGTTACTGTATATAGTTTCTCCTGGTTCTGCTCACTTCACTTTTCATCAGTTCATGCAAGTCTTCCCAGATTTTTCTGAAAGCATCCTGCTCATCATTTCTTACAGCACAATACTGAACCATCACAATTGTACCCTGCTTGTTCATCCATTTCCCCAGTTGATGAGCATTCCCTCGATTTCCAATTCTTTGCCACCACAAAAAGAGCTGCTCTATTTATACACACATAGGTCCTTTTCCTTTGATCTTTTTGGGATAGGACCTAATATTACTGAGTCCAAGGGTATGCACAGCTTAATAGCTTCAGGGACATGGACTAGGTCTTCATAAGAGGAAGGAGAATACAATGGGAATCCTCCCACCCTGCCGAGGAACAAAGCCAGCGCTGGTACCAGCCATTAGCTGGTACTTGGGATTGTGGGAACTCTGCCGGCTCAGGAAAGAGGATCGACTCTGGATGAGCCCAAGCACCATGAGACTGGAGGATGTGCAGCACCTTAGGGAAGGATTATTGGATGCTTGGGACACCATGAACTCTTTCCTTTTTGGACTATATAAGCACTGAGGATGTGAGACCCACTGGCAAAACTGTAACTAGGGTGGGTTCAAGAAGGCTTTGACTGGCAGGGTGCCAACATGGAGGTGGGCATGTTCCTCTTCTAAACCACCAACTTGGCTGTACATGGCACAGCCCTCAGCTGCCATCTGTATGCAGGGTTCCATTACCATTGCATGGAGAGAGGTCCTGGGCTGTGTTTTACCTTGTTCACTACCACACCTGTGGCTTAATGCCTCCTACCCACAGCCTCTTCCAGTGAATTAAAGATGGGTCATCAGCCTCTCTATAGTGATAACCAAGTCACCCTCTCCCCACAGGGCAACTGCACCTGTCTGGGGCAGATTATACCAGGGATCCACTATAGACCTTCTGCAAGGGACTCCTGTGACACCTCTCCTCACAGTGGAACCCCAAGATCTCTCCCTTGGGACAGAGTCCTGGGGTCACTCCCTGCCATGGGCTTTTGTATCCAAGACAATGGGGCTCCTAGTTACTACTCTGCTCACTGGAGGGGTGAAGGAAAATTGTCTTATTACTTAGTTTTTCTAGGCTTGCCTAGGAGTCTCTTACGCAGTTTTTATTGGTTTAAATAAAGTCAGTACTATCTCTTGCTAGGACCACCTAGTGCTGAGTCAAATCCTGAGGTCCCCAGGGAAAATCTCAGGTAAAGCAGGAACAGCACATGATTGGGAAGAAGCCTCCAAGATTGAGCCCTGTCTCTGTAAACAGAGAGCTTTGTTTCAGTGAGACTTGTACACTTGGTGGAGACATTTTCTGGGCATGTCTCCCATGACATGGGAGCCGCTTTAATGCCAGGCCATCAGATCGTGTGGGAAAGGCTCCACCCCTCCACAGGTGCAGCAGCTTGCACTGTCCCAGGCAGTCCCCTGGAGAGCCCTGCCCAGAGCAGGTCCTGCCCATGACGCCTCATTAGTCCCAAGGCTTTGACCAGAATAGGTAGTCACCTTTTGCAGTCAGGTGCCCAGGGCAGGTAGCCACTCTTCCCCAGCACTCACTGGCTTGCACACACTTTGTGCTCATGAGGGTCTATCTAAACTAGGCCACTCTTGGTACAGAAAGCATGGCCCCACCCACTCTCTGCTGCCCAATTAAATCAAACAGCCCTGAAAAGAATGCAACCTGTGCTTCCTCTCCTAAGCTTGTGGGGCACAGGCAGAGAGGGTGCCAAGAGTTAGTTGTGTCTTGGGCTTCCTCGCACCTGCAACCTATGCCAGAAGCATCCTGAACAGGCCCCAGCCCTTGTCTTAGTCCAGAGCCAAAGCCAGACGTTTGTGTGAACAGGGCTAACTCTCCCTGTGTTCTTCAGTTACTGAGGAACCCCTCAAGCTCGCCCCATGTCTGTGCACTCCCAGAGTCTCTGTGCTGAACCCCAGGGGACTTGCCCTGAACATGCAAGGCACTGACCAGTTGCAAGTAGAGGCCTGTGCCTGTGGCTACTTGGTTTAATGGAGTTGGTTTAATGAAAATCAGAAATCTTCTATTGGTATACCAGAGAAGAGGGGCGGGAGCCGCCTGCCTTGCTCAGAAGTCACTGTGGAGGACGCTCTTCCTCATCTGCAGGCAGAGGACCTCATCGATGTAGATGGTGTTCTCCTTCACCTGGATCTCCTCCTGCAGTGAGAGCTGCCGGCGGCTCAGTCCTTTCAGCTCAGCCTCCGCTTGGGCCAACATGTCCTTTAGCCTGACACAGGAAGAGCAGTCCAACACCAGACACCCTTGGGACAGCCAACCCAGAACCTCCAACCCCCTCCCAGTGCCAAGGCTAATGCAGACCCAAATTCCCAGGTCCTCACCAGAGAAGGACCCCTGCTGCCATGAGGCCCAGCCCCCTTGTCTTTGCACACTGGTAAGAACACAGCAGAACCACAGAAGACGCTCGCCTTTCATGGCCTACCATGGAAAGAGTCCCAGCTCTGGCTCTCACCAGCTGAGTGACCCGGAACAAGATTGCCAGCTCCATGGGTCTTAAGTCCTAGGGCACGACCAAGGTGGGATCTCCCACCCTGGAGACCCCGGTGCCTTTACCTAGAGGAGCAGAGGGATGGCTTCCTGTGGGCCACCACTCACCTTCCAATGTTGCAGGTGATCTCCTGGACTTCCTTTATCAGGCAATACTGTACCACATCCCGGCACAGCTCCACATTGGGCCGATGGCTGCGAGACTCTAGGCGTGTCTGAGCCACTTTGGCAGGGCCCTCTTTGGCAAGGATGGCTTTATTTAAAGCTGCAATGTTGTTTTCCTGGGAGGTAATCTCATCCATCACCTGAGCAAGCCAAGGCAAGTGAGTGCATGAGTCCCTGCCCAAGGTCTGCACTCAGCAACATGAGGCTCAGGGTCTAGCCTCCTCTTCAGATCCACTAAGGCTGCAGCCCATGGCCCAAGGTCCAAGCATTCTTTGAGCCCCTTATCACTCCCCCTCCACTCTCATCTTCCTGACAGGGATCTGCTCCACAGCCCATGGTCCAAGCAGACCTCCAGCCCCTCTCCCCACACCACACCCTGTCATCCTACTGGCTGGAATGCTCACTCATGCAGACTTGTCTACAAATGGGCTAGATCAGAAGCTATCATGGGTCTCTAAAGTCTGTTCCCTATTCCACCTGTCTCCAGCCTCTCTTTCTGCTACTCTCTCCCACCACACAAATCCTTGGTTCTAACCGGGCTGCACTTCCCATGCCCCACCTGGAGTCCCATCTCCATGTTTTCTGCAAGCAAAGCCTTCCTCAATCTTCCCCCCTCATCTAAGTCTTACCTCTAGACCCACCTGCTCCCTCTCCAAAGCCTCCTGCTGCCTCAGGCCTCTGCCTACACTGCTCATTTGGTACCCAGCACCCTGCCTCCCCTCTGAGCAGAGTCCCTGACCATGGGGCCTGGCAGAACCACCATGAACACGTTACATTCTGTCTCCAGGGCTGAAGCCAGGATCCTGCACCCAACCATCTGGAATGGTCACTACCTTTTAGACCAATAAAATGAAGCAAGGAGAGAATAAGTGTGTAAGCTTGGCTATGGCTATGTGCTCAGGGTATGACTTTGGAGCATCAGCTGCAGGACCTGGGGATCCCATGGACCAGAGAGCTCAGAGGGGTCTTTAGCTGAGCCCTGGAATGTAGGCTAGAGGAGGAGGGGAGAAGGCTGTCAACTGGCCTATGATGCCTCTGAGACCAGAGCCCAAGGAAGCTGGTCAGCCGACCACTGGCCAGGGTGCTGAATGCAGACCTGAAGCGGGCAGATGCTTCTAGCTGGAGCCTCTGCATGTGGCAGGTGCACCTGGCACAGGAGGCATTCTTGAGAGGCATGTTAAACTGAGGTGTTTGGAGGGCAGGGGCAGACTTAGCCCCCAGATTCTTCTGGACCTGCCCGACCACAAATAGCACATGGGACTGGATGAAAGGATGCCTGAGGGCCCTTCCAGGCTAAACCTGGAAGATCTGATGCTGCTGAGTAACTTCAAAGCACGTCCTGTAGGTTGGCTGTGTCTGGCCCAGGAAAGCAAGCCTTGGCCAGACTTAGATGGGATCCCGCCCCAACTTCCAACAAAAGCCACAACCAACAAGTAGAAGGTGACTGGATGGCCCCCTTGCCTAATACGCAGCTGCCCATTCCACAGGCTGGATGCCAAGGGTGCAGCCCCACCCCTGCCCCCTGGCACTGCCACCCAAGCATCACCTTGGCAAGGTGTGTAGCCAACTTGTCCTTGGCATCTTTTGTTTCTTTGATCCGGTTTTGTAAAGCAAGGTTCACAGTCTCAAACTGTTTGCGTAGGTCATTGGCTGTCTGGGACAGAATTCTGTTGATCAAGGCCTCAAGTGCCAGCGTGTTATTCCTCTGTTTATCTGCCTTCTCCACATTGACATTGGAGAAATCCACCCAGTCATCAACACTCACAGAGCTGGAAGAGAAGGTACAACAGGGACACTCTGGGAGGCCAAAGGCCAATGGCCAGTGTGCGTGACACAGAGGCTGCTGCCTGCACATGGAGGATCTTTGTGCAAGGACAGGGACCA